GAGACATACCAAAGGCTGACACCAGTTATTCCTTCCACCAAGCAAGCAGTGAGCCCAAATCACACCGGGGCCAACATCTGGAGAGTGGCTTGGAGGTTTGTCCATCCCTGACAAAGCGAGCACCTGAGAACTGAGTCACATGAGTCTCCTTCAATGGGGAGGGGAGACAAGGGGTGGGCGCCGCCAAGGACTCCTCATCATCCGTTTGCTGATGCTGGCTGGGAGCAAGGGGAGGGGATGCGTGGAGGCTCTGGTGTGGTAACGGGGCATAAGATGTGTGCACGAGGTTCGTATCAAGGAGCCTGGAGCAGAAGAGCAAGCATTGGGATCTGGGTTGATCTGACGCCCCCTAATGGCTGTATGCTCTTGGGTCAAGTTCTTATCCTCCTGAAGCCTCAAGATTGGGGAAAATGGGGATTACACCACCAAACTCACAGGCTTCAAAAAGAACACTCCTACACATCGTGCTGGACACACGGGGGTGGGAGTGGGGTCTCAGGGACGCCCTTTCCCCCAGAACTGGAAATGCCGCTGCGGCACTTGGCTCACTAGCAAAGCCAGCTGAGTGCCATTGTGGCTGCTAGGAAGATTCAGGGGAGGGAGGGGGTTCCAAGATCCCCATCCAGAGGTCTTTCGAAGGTCCCCAGTCCTCAGAATGCCTTTGTCTGGAAGATTTGTTAGCAGTGGCCCTAGTGAACTAACTCTTCCCCCTGCCCCTGGTCTGGATTTCATCTACACCAAGAGGAGGTGGAGGATTCTAAACATTTTGAAAGCTGGAGATCTTTCTTAAGCCGTTCCCAGGTTGCACCAGTAAAATACCTAATCAGTCCACGATGCACGCAGTCGGATTGACCAGAACAAGCCAGAACCGCACTTTGTCAGGCGGGTGGGAATAGTAAGGTTTATAGTCCAGATTTTCCAGTATGCCTGCAATTTGACACCGTAATTAAGGCTATTGTGTGGATACTTCAGACATGAAAATGCAATATTTTGGTTCTTTAGTCTAAAATTTTTCTATTTTTTTTTAAAGGCAAACAAACCTTATTTCCTGTAGTTTGTAAAACCACATGCGTCCCCTTTACTCAGCACGCAGACAGGGACACACCCCACGTAAACACACTGGTATCTGGGGCCCCAGGGAGACTACGTGGAGGGGCAGGAGGCCAGGCAGCTCGGAGAAAACCTTCCTGGCATTGTGGGGCATTATTGGCGCCCACAGTTTGCAGGCCCTCGGAGCATGGTGTTTTTGGAGCATTCCAATAACAAGAAAAAAATAATTAACACCCGGGGCACAAGAGGTTCAAGTGTGAGCCCAGAAAGACTAAGGAGGCTGGGTGGTCGCATCAGCTGTGAAAGCAAACCTCTGGGACAGATTCTACTTCCTGAAAGATGTTTCTGTCCTCACTGGGGTGATGGGGAAGGAATGGGTTTGCCTACATCCTTCTCCTTGCTCCAAGAGGACAATAATGCAGGGGGCTTAGGAGTCCCTTTTGCCAGGACTGCAGGCAGGAAGCTTGCCCGTCACCCACCCCTCCAGCCGGCCAGGTGTGCTGTACACAGAGGTCAGTTTCCGACCAGAGTATCAGGGTTTATAAACCAAGCTTAGCCATATGAGGCCTTGGAGCTACTTGGGCCTGTTGCAAAGCCCTGACAGTGCTAGACTGTGATAACAAATATCTTCTCATAGGACAGGCAGCTTCAAAATCCACCCAACAAATTGCAAGAAAGAGAATATCCAGGTAGACAAAGACGCACATAATTTCCGAAATGGATTAAAGGCAGTTTTTAGGAGACAAGGAAGATTTTTATAATTCAGCATTCCCACAGACTAAAATCATGTCTAACTATTTTTTTCCCCTTCTTTGGTAGACATCAATAAATAATTCCTTTAAATTCACAGAAGATAGTAAAATAAAGAAGCCATAGGTATTTATTGCATCAAAGATGACACTAAAGTTCAATTTAAAAAATTTGCAAACTTCATCTGTGATAGTTGTTGCATCAGGTTTAGAATAAAATGTGATAAAAGGGAAAGGTTGTAAAAATCTAATTATTATGGACTAGCAACAAGACTGTGCTGCCCATTGGTCTTAGCCATTACTAATGCTAAGGACCCTTGCAAAGAACCAAATCTCAAATACAACCCTTGCAAGGCACACACATACGGAGAGAGATGCATTTGCAATGAAACACTGCTCACCAGAAGTCTTGGCTCTTTATGTCTTGACTTCAATCATATGAATGGGAAATACACTGAGGATTGCAATAGCCTACCTGTGGGATCCCTAGTTTCCCTGACAAAGGAATGCTGTAAGTGAAGGCCCGGGTCAACGCTGGTGGGCCCAGGAACTCCACAGCAGTCACTGGGCATAATTCAAAGGGCATGCAAGTTAAATCCCCTGTGTTCAGTCTGGTTTCCAATGGTTAAGTTTTTTCTTTTCCACCCTGTGTTTAGCATCCCCTTCAGTGTCCAACCTCCCCCTGTAAGGGCCTGACCAAATGCACTATTATAACAAAGAAAACAACCCAAGCGTCCAATTCTAAAGCGGGAGCCTGGACAAGAAGAGGTATCATGTGGAGATGCTGCAGTGTCTTTGGAGAGAAGACCAATAGGTCCGAACCTGATGTATTTGCTAAAGAATTTTATTCTATTTCTCCTGGGTGAGTTCTTTACTCATGAGCTCACTACAGAAGCAGTCCTAGAGAAAATAAAACTGGCATTTATAGGAGGTCTTTTACCATCAAAACGCTTAAGGGTCAATGACACGTCCTAGCATCGCTGTGGGAGCAGTTTGGGCAAGGCTTCTACAAATGGTGAAGACAGACACAAGAAAAGCAGGGGGAGGCCATGGAAAGACCAAGAATGACAAAGAGGGAAAAATATCGAACACAATGCAATATTACTTAGGAGAAAAACATATCAAACATTCTTCGCACATTACATCCAAACTAATGGTGTCTTTTAAGAGGCCAGTTTGTAAATGGCAAATGTGAGATAATTTGCATTCGAATCATTTCCGATATGAAATGATGATTCTGAAACGTGCATTCTATTTCCATCGATGTGAGGTCCATTTCCATAGAAACGAATGGAAAAAGTAGGCCAAACCCAGCAGTATGGTTTCTAGGAGGAACAGCAGCTGTGGTTCTGGCCAGTCATGTAAAGCACTGGTTTGAAACCACTGTAGGCAAGAGCTCTTACTGCAAGGGAACAAAGAAAGTTTACACTCCAAGAAAGGCCGTGGAAAGTATCTGAGGCCTTTCCTGGTCACTTCATACAAAGCCACGGAAGAAAAATTGTCTCATGTGCACTTTGCTTTCTGTGTATTCCACAGGAAAGTCAAAGTCACCACATGCAAAAAACAGGTGCCTCCCTCTCTGCAGCCTTGGAGAAAGGAAACGGGCTTCATCCGTCGGGCTGAGCTATCAATCAGAGGAACGTTAAGTGGCAGGCCCAACACTCCTGGAAAATGAACTCGGAAACACTCAGCGACGAGGCCCAGGCACAAGGATGGAGAGTCGGGGTAGATGATGTATATGTTACCCATGGGCCCTCAGTGCTCAGAAAAGCAAGATGCAGGGAAAAACAAAACAAAGTCACCTACTTTCAAAATAAAATAATCTTTACATTGCACCTATGTTTAAAAAGGCCTCTTTGACAGCCTAAAAAAGTGCAAGTGGGTTTATGAAACAAGCCTCTCTGCCTCTTTCATGGGAAGGATGGGGCTGCCATTGGGACAGCAGGTGAGAGCGCAGAGTGTGGCCATCACGGCCCACTCCCTCAGCCATCGCCAGCCAGGCGACTGCTGATGTTCCTCCCCTAGCCACATGGCCGGCTGCCGGAGCAGGTCTGCGTGAGGCTCTCAACCAAGTGGTCGCCAGAGGCCCAGGGCACAGGATGCGACCCAGCTTGCATGATTCATTTAACTCCTTCACCCCGGAATTCTTTTGCAGAAAAAGAAAAACATGAAACTTCTATGGTTTAAGATTTCCTTAAAGCGGGAAAAGATATTGAAATCTCTGTGCTCTATGAAATGAGGGAACAAAAGGATTGCTTTCAGCAAGTTTATATCTATCTATAAGCCAATCAGCTGGCTATTGGCCACTTGCTAGAGAAAAAAATCCAACTTGGTTGATGTAACCATGAACATAATAAAAAAAAACAATGACTACCTTGTTCATTTCCTTTGATCACCTGGGAGGTCAGGAAACAGGACATATGTGTAGGTAAGCCCTCCAAAATACACATTTTTTTCCTTTTTCTTCTCACGATATAAAACACATACACATTCATATTATCCTAAAGTCACCTGAAAAATACAGATTGCCTACAAGCCGTGGAAAATACCAATAAGATGCAAAGAAATGACCATTTTACAGAGACAGATCTTTGATGGGCTTTAATGTGAATTGTTTTATTTAAAACAGGGATCCATCAGAGGTGAACTATCAGGGAAATGTTCTAGAGTATGGCACGATGACAGGTAATACTCACCAGCACCTCACACGGGACTAACAGACAAGGTCAGCAACACACCACGGAGGAACACAGACCCCAGGGAACAGGCACCCGGCGGGGGGAGCGGTGGGCTCTGCCCCTTGAGCAGGCTCACTCCTGTGCACTGTGGATAAGTCTGGACAAACGACATTCGTAATGGAACAAAAAAGGTTCTGGTCTGAAGCCCAGGTCCTATGTAGGGAGCTAACCTTCCCTCGGACTGGTTTATACTCGCCATGTGGCTTAAGGTCCTAAAGGGGGTGAGGTTGCTAAAGGGTAGCACGAAAGCCCTCCCTTTTTGTCTCTAGAAGGGAGGCGAGCCCTCCCCCGGCTCAACGTCAGCAGTGGCTTGTGAAGGCTTTTACACATCCTAACTTAAAAACAAATGACAACAACAAAATAAAAGGTGGAAAAGTGGTCTGAACTTAAACCAATCACATGGAAAGGCAGATTCCTAAAAATGCGAACCGGAGACCAGTCCACTGTGTGGTTAATGCCCCGCCTGAATGAAGATGTTTAACCTGCATCCACAGTACACACAAGCACAAAGCTGCTCTCAGCAACTGTGAGTACATAGCTACCCTTTCCTTGGAACTCACTGACCTACTACCGGTGACGTCATGCCAAGTGCTAAAGTTAGAAGGGACCCCGGACTGGCGAAGGACCCCAGGCATTGATCTGCCTGACGTGGCCGGGTCTGTGGGAAACAAGACTTACACTCTCAAATAACAACCCCCAGAGTCCCCTCTCCTCTTCCCATCTGCACTGTGCCTTTTGACCTCCTAGCAGGGAGGTCCAAACGATTCAGTTTCCTTCTCAGTTCTAGGCACTCTCTGGAACATCTTTAATTAACCAGGGTCTTTCATTTCTTTCCAACTCCATTGGTGACTTTTGACTTGGAATGTCGATTCCTTCTTCTGGAAGAATGGCTTTCGTTGTTGCTTGGATGCTTGGGTGGGCTGTCTTCAGGACCTGGCCAAAGGAATCAGAACACGCGGTCACCTTGGGCTGCAGCACTCCTGGGCTCACTCCTGGGACCTGCGGCTCTCCCTGTCTAGGCCGTCCGAGGCCTGCCCGCCAAGGATCTTCCTCCGATCCTTGCACTCCATCTAGTGGCCTTATTAATACATGAAGGCAAGGCACAGAGACCTCAGCACTGTGCTAGTACAGGTGGTGCCTGGGTATGCAAGGGGACAGCCCCACAAAGTCTGGGGGGATTCGTGAAGAATTTTTACACTCACACTGTGTAGGGTGGATCGTGGTCATGGTGACAGGGACCAGAAATCAGACAACAAGTGATATCAAAGCACAAAGGAGGGACAATTAAAACTTAAACCACATGGGTGTCCATCTGCCCTTCCAGCCAAAGGATGCATTACCTAGGTTTCCACACCATGACCTGTTACACATCAGAGTTTCTAATCTCTAAATTGGAAAGAATTCTTGACTTTATAAAATTAAAGATATTACATGCCCTCTATTATTTGATTTGGAGGCTACCTTTACAATCAAGCCCCTGCTGCTCGTGACAGATAGCCCCAGAACCACACACTTTAGTGTGCCACACGCCCTCAAGTCTCACATTCTACAGGGACAACATCGTTTGTCACACTATATGATTTATTTGGGAGCTCAGAGAAAGACTTCTACATTGGCTAAGTGCCCAGCAATTGGCAGGCATCAGCCAGGTGGAGGGTGGAGCTGGGGGGGGAGGCGGGGGTTGGGGTGGGCATTCCTGGTAGAGGTGTGCAAGGCTGGGGAGGTCAGCCGAACTTCCTGGCACGGGGTTGGCTCTGTCCTCAGACTGAGCACGTGGCCAGCCCCTGGCCTAACAACTAAGCCAAAAGGTTCTCTGCCCCAGGCCTCAGATCCAGCCCCAGAGGAGATCTCCATCAAAGACAGCCATTAAAAAAAAGTTCCCAGAGTTTTTGTCTCTGTGAAGTGGCATATGCCTTAGTCCAAGGGACTCTTACCACTCCAAAGATTTTTTTGCTTTTTTCTTTTTTTTTTTACTATTCTGTCTACCTTTCATTTAAATATACGTCTACCACTGCTTACTTCTTTTAGTCTTTTCAATGCAGAAGTGCCCGCAAGTGCCAAAGATTGATCTATACGGGTATGGTTCGGAATAAGGGAGTTCTGGGGAACTGCCCCGCCCACCTCTACCAGCATTCCAAAACAGGCTGCTGATCGACTCAATTCAGGAGAAATCATCTCAAAAAGGGTGACTGGCACCCAGTAGAGAGTATGCTAGCGTTTTCCCCAGGGAGGGCTCTAAAAAGCTTGACCCCAAAAGAACTCAGGGGAGCAACTGTGTCAGTAGTGCTTCCCACTCCCTAAGCCCTGTTTGTCCGAGCAGTTCTGTGAGCCAAAATCCACGGCCTCAGTGTTCATAATTCTCTCCCTTCAGTCAAGCCTTGCAGTCAGAGAGAACTGACAACGAGTAACTGTCCAGTGGAGCCTCCTAAGTGTCATTACTCCACAAGCCTAATTCTTTTTTTTTTTTTTTTGTGAGGAGATCAGCCCTGAGCTAACATCTGCCAATCCTCCTCTTGTTTTGCTGAGGAAGACTGGCCCTGGCCTAACATCCGTGCCCATCTTTCTCCACTTTATATGGGACGCCGCCATAGCATGGCCTGACAAGCAGTACGTCAGTGCGCGCCCGGGATCCGAACCAGCGAACCCCGGGCCGCCATAGTGGAGCACATGCACTTTACCGCTTGCGCCACCGGGCCGGCCCCCACAAGCCTAATTCTTTAAAATAACCAGCTGGCCCCAAATCTTTCCAAAATTCTCCTTGGAGAGGCCATTGGGAGTGACTACACTACTGAAATCCCTCTTATACTGGTCTGCCTCTCGAATAAAACAGGATTAAATTGATCCACCCTTTTGAAAGGCTTCTCCTCCTGGCACATAATTCTTCTCAACCCTTTTCACTCAAGACAAAAGCCAAGAGGAGGAACATTCCCGTCAGGGTGCTTAGACAGTACAGGCTCATTACATTTTCCTGCCTCAGAAATGGCAGAGCTACACGGAGCCTCTTAGGAAGAAACGTTCCTGGGCAGATCCTGAGAGCACTTTGCATGTTTCATTAATAATTAACAGGCGACATGTGATGAGTAGGTTTGAGACCAACCCTTCAAGGCATACATTTATCAACATTCAGAGGATAAATATTGATTCTTAATCTCCTTACTGGGCCTCAGGAGGGAGAGGACCCAGTCAAGTTTTAAACAATGAGCAAGAAAGAGATACCTTTGGTGCCTTTCCCGTGAGGCCAGGAGATATCTGGACTGTAGGTGCTGTCTTCACACTCTGAGTAGGTCTAGGGAGAGAGGCAGGCTTAGTGATGGGATTTCAAGGACTCTCCGGAGGGTTTGGGGGGGGTGGGCAAAAATGTGAGGCTGCTCCATGCCTGCCTCTCTGGGCTTGGGGGTCACCACCAGCAAGTGATAGAACCTCCTCATGCTTATGTTTCTCAGCTATAAAACCAAGGCTATCTCCCAGATGACGCAGAATAAATCTTCTAGAAAGTGCCTTTAGTTTCTTAGACTAAAAGTATGAATAAAAGACAAAAGGTGTTATTTTACTTAAAAAATATTATAGTTGACAAGGCTGGGAATAAAACCCAGCCTTCCAAAAACCGGTCCAGGGCTCTCTCCACAATTTTTTTTTAAAACAAACAAATAATTAAGTTTTAAACCCCTTACAAAGGGAGGATAAAAATACTGACCTATTGAACAGAGCAGTCACAAGCATGGAGAGCAACTGACAGGGAATGAATTCTGAACTGGCTTGGTGTCTACAGTGGGGAGACTGAAGCCCAGCTCTTGCGGGGCCGGCTGTGCCAAATGCTCATGTGACTGTGCTCTGGGCTAAAGCTCCAAGCAGGACGTGATTATTCTGAATAAAGACCATCTCTGCCTTTCTTTCAGTACCTTTTCTCGGTGACCATAGTGCTCTGCGTACCAAACCATGCCGTACAGACACAGGAAGGTGGTGAAAGCCTGGAAGAGAAAATTGAGCATGAAACCATTTTATAAATGAGGTTGGACAAAAAAATTCCCTTTCCCAGAACTTCAGGGTGTCAATGGGATTCATACAAGACGGCTGGACGTGGCAGCGATGAAGCCCAGGAGATGAGTCTGGGGACCCCCCCTAAGCTTTTGACAAGAGGAGCTGTGATGAGACCACAGGACCACTTGTGACGCTACCATCAGAGTGCAGGACCGTTTTGAGATGAGGGATAAGGGGGCACATTTCCTGAACGGCTTTGCAGGTTCTGCTTCAGAGGACATGTAGGATTCTGCCTTGTAGTTCTGATTTTCATGGCCCATCCTCTCCACCCCACCCCATCACTGGAGAGAGTTACAAGGACTCTGTTTGTCAGCTTCTGCGGGGAAGAGGATTTCTGAACGAAAGAGCAGTTGCACTCAGTCTGGGGTCACAGTGGTGCTGGAGGCATTTGGGACGAACGCCCGCTGAGTGGAGGCAGAGCCCAGCAGGACACTGCGCCCTGGGCTGTGCACTGCTCTGCAGCCCCAGTGGTCCCACCCCGACCCCGTCCTGGTCGCTTTTGTTTTTCTTGTTTAAGTAGACAGGAAAATACAGAGAAAATAACAACACCTTGTAAGCCCTGGAGTGAAATGAGGAGGGCGTGGCCCACGGGGGACCCAGGGCAGGGATAACCCCTACTTCCACCTCAGCATTCCCCCTGCCCTGTGCCACACCCCAAATTCTACAGGAATTTAAGGGAAGAATAGCATCTACAAGAATCCCAAGTCTAAAAATGTGTCAAAAAACTGAGAGTCGGGGTAAAGTTCCTGGCTGCCTAGATGAACACGAAAGGGGAGAGGAGCGTGTGTGTCAGGAGAGTGAGGACAGGAGACTCTGGGCCAGGCCCTTCAGCCAGGCCTTCCCTCCCGAATGTGAGTGAATCAACCAAAACAAAATGACTGCCTGCTCCACCATTAAATTCTTCAGAATTCCTTGCTTTAGGAACCCATTGACGCCAAACCTTCCTCGCTCTCTAACCTCCGTCTCTTCCACTGCATTTCCTGTTGGGGACCTGTCCTCTCGCCCCAACCATGGCAATAGTTGTGAAATCATGGTGGAACCTTCTCTTCTTGAGATCAGAGAGGTGAACGGCCTTCTCAAAGACAAATAGCTAATGTGTGGCAAAACTGAAGCCAGAACACAGGTCTCCTGATATCCCTTGACGGGTATCGAGTAAATATGGATTTTATGTCTATATGTCTTTATATTTCTATCCACTTATCCATCCCTCGAGAAAGAAATGCATCATGGGAACAGCAATACCAGCAGCATCCGCTCTGCAGGGCCCACAGTCTGGAGCTTGGAGCAAAGACTGCAGGGAAGGCAGGGGCTGTGAACTCTCATCACCGCAGCTTGTAGACTAGCTCTGGCCCAGTTCCTTTAAGTTAACAACATTTACTAAGTGTCTGCTGCATCATCAAGTGTCAAAAAAGAAAGGAGTCGGAGTGTTCCAGCTGGCCTTCTCCTTCACGTCACTCAAGTGGAAACAGTAGCATGGTGGAGAGATGACACGACACACAAGAAAACCCACTAGTTCATCTTATATTAAATCCATGTGCCGACTGGCATACAGATTAGGGATTTAAAGAAAAAGAAGCTCATACCCCCATAAAAAATTAGGCAATGAATGAATATATTAAAATCATAAAATGAAAAGTAATTCTAACCTTTAATATACTCTAGCACTTGCTCAGAGTTCTAACACATACCACTGTTAAATGTACCATTTTCACAGCATGGAAAAGACTAGAGGATTTGCAGTGTGTAAGCCTATGTATGCATTAGGTCCTTTACAAAGAGCAAAACAGGCCATCCTAGGTTTCATAGGGAGGGCAGGGAGGATAGGTCCCACCTCCCCAGACCAGTCAGTGCCTGTGAAGGGGGGTGGGGAGGCTGGCCATAGAGCCGTCACTCCACTAGACCAAGGGAGCAGTGACGCCTGGGCGGGCTGTCATTGCGAACTCTGCCCACCAGAGGGCAGGCACACGGGGCTCTTCCTCCTCCTTCCCCAGCCCAGCGCTGGGATGGCAGCGGGGGGTGGGGGCTGCTGGAGCTGCTCTGCTCGGTAGACAGCTGGGCAGACAGCTCTGCAGCCGTCGCGCAAACACTGGCAGGTGGTGAGCGACAGGTGCTTATCAACACAATCGCCACACAAAGGGCCGGCGTGGTTGCCAAATTCACCACTTCACCTGGGTACAAGAGGCCCACTTTACACTTGTCCCGGGAGACAAAGGCTTGTAATTTATGGGTTCGCAATTACACCTGTGGAAATCTAGGCATGTACCCACTTAAAATGTCAAGGCCTGGATTTAAACTAGCAATTGTACAGATTGTGTTTAAAGAAAGGAAAGAGAAAAAGAGAGAGTGGAAAAATACGTGGGATGAGAGCCAAGGCCGTACACAACCACGGGTGTGGCGGCAATGAGGGCGTAAACCCAGCTGGGCGCCACGTTACAGTAATGAGCATTCGAATTGACCAGGACGGATCAGACAACTGCTGCTGCAGAAGCTGATGAACCAGCATACGAGATCCTCACTTTGCATTAATCTCGAGTTCTGTGTATGTTCTCTTACCAGGCAAGGGGAGTAATTAGGGGTTTTGTTTCTCTGAGTAGTGTGGGAGGCATGGCAGAACTTAATACTCTCTTATTGAATAATGTTTGCCTCACTCCTGAGTTTGAGATCAATCTTGATCTCTAATAAAGGCCATGAAAAAGTACCAGGACCTTGTTTCCATTCTTCTTCTCTAACTGGTAAATGTGCAAGGCAGTAGAGACCCCTAATCATGCCAGCCAAGGGCCTCTTGGGGGGCCTCTGGGGTGGCCAGGTCCCCCTCCACGGTGCTTATAACTGATAACACTAATTGGGGGATCCGCTTGTCTTCACAGGCCTGCTCTCCTGTGGCTGTTTCTCAGCCTGGCCTCTAAATGCGGCCGCTCCACAGAATTCCATTCTCAGCCCGCTTCTCTTCCCCGCACTACGTCCCCCCCACTCTTACCTAATCCAAAGGCTCCAACCATGCCCTGCACATGGACGGCTCCCAACTCTTCCAACTCCACGGCCGACTGAGTCTTTCCAACGTTACTGCACAGACTAGAATCTCCAATGATACACACCTTCACCTCCAAGTTCTAAGGGTCCCTCAAACCCCAAAACCCCCAACCAAATGCATCTCCTTTCAGTGGGCTTCTCTGATGTCCCCCAATCTGTTACTAGCACCAACAGCCACCCCAGTGGCACAAATAAGGAGCCCGAGAGTCGCCCTTAAGTCCCTTCCCAGCTGTCACAAAGGGATGCCGTCCTGCTGAGCTGAGCTCATATACAGCTCTCAAATCCAGCCCTTTCTCTGCATCTTCAGCTCCGCTGCCCTGGTTCAGCCTCAGTCATTTCTCACCTAGGACCTGGGGACACCCTCAGCCTGCACCCCTCCTCCAAGCCCTCTTCCCCTCCTCTCGACTCTCCCACCCTCCACACTGTTTCTCTGTGAGACGTTGTCTACCCACTGAAAACTCTTCTTTGGGTCTCCAACCACAAACACACACAGTCCTTCCTGGGCAGACATCCTCTATTCTCTCCTCCTCCAACTGGCTCTCCTCACTCTCACTCCCAAAACAGGTCGCCATCCTCCCGAGACGCTGGGCACTGGCACGGCTTCACGTCACTGTACGCGCTGCTCTCTCAGCCCGCCTGTACGTCTCCTGCTCTCTGTCTCTTGAACTCATTCCTTTATTCTCCTTGTGTTTGCCCAGCATTCCCTACGCATCAGGCACTGTGCTAGAGCCAGGGGGGACAAAAGGACAATGAAAACTTATTCTGAAGAAGTGCAAAGTTGAGGAGGCAGATACAAACACCACAGATGACATTACACTGGCGTTAGAACTCATAGAAATAGGTGGTACAAAGTGTGACTGTTCCCCTGAGGAAGGAGTTATCTAGTCTGCCCTGTGGGTTGGGCATATTTCATGGAGGGCGTGAATTTAAGTTTGGTCTTGGCATAAGATTCACTAGGTAGAGAGAGCAGGGAAAAGAAAAGCTTTCAGATCAGGCAAAGGCAGCACATGGGTGCAGGCAAGAGAAGTCTGGAAGGGGGACTGGTTGAGGTAACTAAGAGTAGTCTGTGCAGCCCGAGTGTAGAGCACACAGGGTGAGTGTGATGAATGGTCCAGACAATGACGGTCCCAACACACAAGCAGGATTTCATATTTCAGCTGGTAGGTGTTGTCGGGGGGATCCTTCTTCTTTCTTGATGTTTCTTTCCGTGAGGAGGGAGCTTTCCTGGTATAACACTCCTGCTTCTCCTCACCCCTCACTCCTACCCGGGGAGGAGCTGCATCTTAACTGACTGGTGAACCCGAGACAAGGAAGCTGGGCATTTCCCGTCTTTCCTCCCAGACATGGGGAGGCCTGCTTCCTGCGTCTGAAGAGCAAGCATGTTTGATTCTGGGGTTCACTACTCAGAAGCCCCTTGTTGCCATGCATCTAAAGCTGATACTGAAAAATGTAGATTCTTGGTAATAAAGATGCTATTCTGATCTCCATATCCTTCTTCCACCCTGCCTCTCTCTTAATTATTCTGAACTTGGGTGGGGAAAAATGTGTTATTAGGCCCTCTTAAGCCCCCAACAATAAGGAATGATTCTAAGCTGGGGAAAGAGATTCAGATGTGAATTCTGGAAGGTCACATTGGCAGCAGTATAGAGAATGGATCTGAAGGGCAGCCTGCAGAGAAAATGGGCATCTGGACAGCTGCAGAGGCAGTGGGAATGGAGAGGAGGATGGAGTTGGGCTACAAGGTTGAATGAATAGAACCTGGTGACCTGCTGATTTGAAGAGTGACAGAGGGTAGGAAGCAGCCTCCTGGGTTTTTAGCTGGGGCACCTGAGGGATGGGAGAGCCATTCACTGCAATCCTTGGAAATCCTGCTCACACGTCACCTCCAGGGAGCCTTCACCCCAGCTCGCCTGGTATCGCTCAAGTGCTCCTTTAGCTCTATGCACACACATCTTTTATAAGATTTATCACATATTAACATCAGGAGTTTGCATTTGTAATTCCCATGTGGACTTAGAGATCCTTGGAGGGGACACCCTTGGAGGAGGAGCAGGAACTCCTTAGCCAGACTATTTGGGTCTGAGCCCTGGCTCTGCCACTTACTACCTGTGTGACCTTGGGCAAGTTAGTAAACCTCCCTGTGCCTTTATTTCTTTATCCATAAAAGAGGGATAATAAAGCACCTCACCTCAAAGTGTAAAGATAAATATGTGATTCATGAGAAGTGCTTAGAACAGTGTCTGGCACATGGTAAGCATCAATAAATCTTATCACCATCTACCCGTGTGGGTCTAGCATCAGACGCAGCTTTGATGAGTGCTCAGCAAATGTTTTGTGAATGAATGACGGACTTAGAAGGGACCATGCTAAGTGAAGGAGAGCTTGATGGGAGCACAAGAAGTGGTTCAGACCCTCAATAAAGTTAATCACACAGACACAAAGGCAAATGCAAAATCCCAACATGAGGCGGCATGTGCTAAGCGTCAAATCAGTAAAACACAGAGAAAGTCTCTAAAACTTAAAGAGAGACTGGAGGGGTCCTTGTAGACTGGATGACCAGAGAGGGCTTCTTGGACGCAGCCTTGGGAAGACCTTTCTGGCCGCTGATGCCCCAGGGGGAGCTGTGCGCAGGCGGCTGGGGGGCCTGTGGGGGACTGTCGTGAGAAGGGCATCCGCCCGGGTTCCCGGAGTCCTGCCTGCCTCAACCTCTCCGTGGTCACTGTGGCTCTCTGGTACCAGATGAGGGCTGCACCCACCTCTGCCCACCACAGGAGGTCACACTACAATTCACAGACCCACGGTGCACACACCAGAGAGAAATCTGAGAAGCACATGGATAAAATCTCCAGGCGCATCTGACACACTCCTCTAACAGATCCTCACATCTCATCTGACTGGGACAGAAAAAATACATTCGAGCATTAATTCTGGAGTTTAAGTACGAAGGAGATCATTATTTCCTTTTATTGTTCAAGACGAAACAGCACAGAACAGGCTCGAGGTGCCCTGGCACAGTTAGGAATCCTAAAAAGTAACCCTAAAAATAGACACCGTGAAAGGCAATAAGAAACACTTTAAAAATACAAAGTTTAGTCTTGCCAAAAGAAAAAAAATATTAGATCTGAATCTGATTAAGCCTTTAGATCCAGCTACCAATTTACAGAAAATACAGAGGACAAAGAAATCTGTTAAATCCCAGCACAGGATGAGATCAGTAAAATCCAGACTGTGGGAAAATCTACAGGACAAAAGAGCTGGTTTCTTCAATAAATAAATCGCTAAGGAGAGAGAGCTGGAGATAGAGGGAAAACTACAGATTAAAAGAGACTTAAAAGGCAAGCCACAATAGCAATGAGTAGATGTTAATTCAAATAAACTGTCAAAAAGTACAAAATTTAAGAAAAGTATTAGCAATTTGACACTGATTAGAGATTTGATAGTATGAAGGAATTATCGTTCATTCTTTTTCAGATGTGATAATGGTTCGGTGGTTGCATTAAATAAAAAACCATTCTTATCTTCTTTTACAGGTACATCCTGAAATATTAAAGGTGGCTGCTTCAAAATAGTTCAAGGTGGAGATAGTGAGCGGGGAATACAGGGAAATAAGACTGGCTGTGGGTTGATAATGGTTGAAACTGGATAACGGATACATGAGGGGTCATCTATTCTACTTACTTCCAAATATGTTTGAAATTTTCTGTGATTATAAAGAAAGCCCAAGTTAATTTTGTGGACTCAGTAACTGAAAGTGAACAATCTTGAGCTTAAATGTAAAATATGACTTTTCTCCAAAGGAATAATACAATTAAAGAAAGCAGGGCAGTCATAGAATGTTCAAGCTAGGTAAGATCTTACTTCATTTTAGAGATGAGGGAAAAGCCCCAGGACCCGGAGCTGGAGGCCCCGGGCTCTGCCCTTCAAAGAGGAAGCTCGTCCTCCACAGGCCTGCCCTATAAAGTCGGGCCTGGGGGGCAGAAGCTGCATGGTCTACTACCTTCAAAAACACCTCGCATGGCCTACAAACTATAGTCCGTCATTTTGTACGTAAACCCATGTACAGGAATTTGTATGTTACAGGGCACTGTAATTGTCCTTGTCCCTTCGTGGCAGGCCTGAAATTCTTAGCACATGTGGACAAATTCCCATAAGTGAAATAAACGCAGGCCTGGTGCACGTGCTGAGGGCATTTGACCAGAACCTGCCAAGGTGACCCGCTCTGGACACCGTGTGGTCCTGTGTCTATTCTTGGACTTCGCACAGGTGGCCGAGCTCTGGTCATTACAAGCAGAACATCCCTCTATGAATTCTAAGGAACTGTGTGCACGAGAGAGGTTTTTTTTTTCCTTAAGAGATACCATGGGAGTTTAGCTAACATTTTTGGGTTATAAAGCAATGACTTACCACACAAAGAAGCCAAAGCACAACATAGAGTATTTGGGTCTTAGAGAAGAGATCTTGTCCAAATTTTATGCAGACAATAGCTTCCAGGAAACCAATGACCCTAGTTAGACAGAACAAGAGGTTAATACTAATTCATCTTTTCAGAGCATACATTACCAGAAATATGCATTATTCCATCAAAAAGTTCAACTGGTCACAATACTTCTGCCCCAAACACTGGTAGCAGGTCCCCTAGCAAATGACATTGTTCTAGCCCACTGCACTTTCTTCAGAAATACTATATATATTTTTTAGATTTAATAAAAAGTTTATTGTTACTCCTCTTTTCCTTTTTTAAGACTTTATTTTTTAAGGTAGTTTTAGGTTCACTGCAAAATTGAGGGGAAGGTACAAAGTTCCCATATGCCCCTGGCCACACATATGCACAGCCTCCCCCACTGTCAACACCCCCGCCAGATGGTACATTTGTTACAACTGATGCACCTACATTGACACATCATTATCAAAGTCCATAGTTTACCTTAGGGTTCACTCTTGGTGATGTACACGCTATGGGTTTGGACAAAGGTATGATGACATGTATCCACCATTACAGCATCATACAGAGTAGTTTCACTGCCCTAAAAACCCTCCGTGTTCCACTCTTTCATCCCTCTACCCCTCCCCAGAAATAATAAAATATTTTTTACTTCTTCTTTCCTCCCAGACCAAAATTTCAACTCACACATTTTAATAGCTGGAGGTACCTGGCATCATCTAACTCAGAGACCATTACCATCGGGGCGACAGTCACCACCTCTGTTGGAATCCTCTCAGGGACAGGGAACCTACTACCTTTGGAGGTGGCTTGTTCCGCTGTTCAATCTCTTGAGCTGCTGGGAAGTGTTTCCTTGTCTCAGGCTAGTATCTGCCTCCTTCTCCCCATGGGTCCTAAGTGCCCTCCGCAGTCCTACCGTGTGAGCTTGAGCCTTCCCAGTGAGTCTTTTAATAACTTGAAGGCAGTAGTTAATTCCCTCCCAGCCTTCTAAGAATTTCCAGATTCAATATCCCCCGTTTTGGCTGACAATATAAACCCTTTATCCTTTCTTGATCTGTAAGCAATTTTGCTAAATACAAAATGTTAAAAAAAAAAAAAACTTCACGTTTTACTCTTTAGTTAAAACGTCAAAGAACAAAAGCCACGCCTGTGCTCTACATCCTCATTTATGAATGTAAACTCAGGCCTTTCCTAAAGTGCAGAGCTGGGAGGTAAGAACAGATGAGGTGACGGTGACACAGCTGGTCATGTGACCCCAAAGACTACCTAAGAATACTGATTTCAGACAACTCCACTTCAGCTGTTCCTTGCTCGAGATGGAATCTGGACAATCAGGGATTGGTGTAGTTGCACAGACATTCTCTGAAAAGGGGAAAAAGGGCCCAGAAGGCCCTGGGTCCCCCTACCCACTGGCAGACACAAAGGACACTGCCATCATCAAATGTATGGATGGCTCTAAACAATCGAATGCCTGGAATCAGAACCACTCCATCAAAGTAGAAAATCTCCTTAATGTATCTTTAGAGAGTTTGGGGCTATCTTTTCCCCTAGCCCCAACCAAACAAGGTTTAGGAGTGGTTGGCCTCAATCTTTAAAGACCATCCCCACCCCAAACAAAGTATGGCAGGTGTGAGAAAGCATCACTTTAGCTGAGGTACACAGGGGGCTTTTGACTGTAAGGCTGAGTTTCATTGTAATCCTGAAGTTGAGTCTGAGCTGACGCTAGAGAGCGGCTAAGCTTTGGTTATTTCCAGGCTGCACAGTGAGGGGGAGAGTGCTTGCAAGTGGACATAAAAAGGTATCTGACCTTTGGCTGGGCCTTCTTGAGGAACTACAATGGAAAGCGTTAAGCCCAGGAAGTAAGTGTGCCGATCTGCCCTTATGCCACACACAACACTTGGAGTTTACCACGAGAGACTTCTGGATATTCAACTCGATTGAGTCACCTTTCAAGGCATAGTGACCATCAGACTAAAGCTGTGTTTTTCAAACTTTTGTGATCTGAGACCCTTGGCAAGACACACACACACACACACACACACACACACCACTGAAACAGAAGTTTCACAAAACAACTTGTCTCCTTACTCTGACATTTTTCTATTCTATTTCATTTTAAGAAAATGCTGGTCAGGACCCACTCAATTGACTTCATAATGGCCTGAAGTTTGTTCTCAAGACCAGAGCTTTTCAGTCAGCAACTTTAGGATATGATTCGTTCCTACGTGCTGAGGAAACTTAGCTAAGCCGTTGTCCATGTATGTGGCCTTCCCAGCGAGAAGGCGACCTTGGAGCAAAGATTAGGGGCGGGGGGAAGTGAGGGGAAGGGACAGAGTTGAGTCCCAGAGTAACATGAGTCTGGAGGGCCACCCTAGGGCTTGGCTTTTAGTCTGAGGGAGATGGAAGCCCCTGGAGGGTTTGGAGCAAAGAGTTTCACATGAGTCAATTTACATTTTAATATGATCATTCTGGCGGCTGAAGGTTGAACTGAGAACTGATATAAGGAGGCAAGAGCAGAAGCAGGGAGGCTTCTAAGGCAGGGAGAGGACCAGGGTGGTAGCTGTGGATGTGGGAAGTGGTGGGAACTGGGAGGCAGTAAATCCAACAATCACATGGACTGTTGAGCCACCAGCCACTGCCCCCACCATTATCCTGGGCCCCCTAAGCTGAGGGAGGCCTAATAATAACATCCTTCTGGAAGGTTATTACTTTTGGACAAGACTCAAACGGCTGCTCGTCTGGTGCTGAGGCAGGGCTTGGCACCGTGGAGCCACTGTATTGAGCCTGTCAGCTGAGACAGCACCGCCTCCTCACCCCGGGGGCTGCCTCTGCAACACCTCCCTGAACTCAGGGCAAACCGAGCTCCCTGATCTTCACCAGGCTGAGCTGGCGGCCCAGCTGCGGTGTGATGAGATTCGCCCGTGGCCACCCTTATCTCGAATTCGCAAGGCTAGAAGGCAAATAAACATTTGGGCGGCCTCAGGTGCTTCTGCCTGAGGTGAGGCTGCTCTGCCGACTCAGGCCTTCTCAGCCCCCCTTTCTTCAGAGCCTGCTCTTTCCAGACAGGGTAGAAATAAAGATGATGCTAATGTGGAGCCCAGGGTAAGGAGTTCCTCAGTGAATGGAACAAGAAAGTTAGCAGGGTTACTACAGAAACGTGGGGCACAGAAACTCTAGGCTCAGTGTGTCTAAGCTGGGCGTACAAGCCAACCCTGAGAAGCAGAGGAAGTTGTCAGTCTGCCAACAAAACCTGCTTGTGGAGTCTAAGGATGCCACAGCCTGACTGCATCCCACCAATATTGCCCTGTAGCTGCACAAGAATGCACTACTGCACAAGAATGCACTACTGG